TTACGGGACGCATTTTAACGTGTCCCTGCGTCCCGTAAGACTGTTCTTATGGCTAGACCCATATAGGTTACTTAAAACGAAACCAAACGCCATGAACCCATTGTTCTATTTACCAGTTACATGATGTCTTTTCAATATAACACTACGCATCAGTTGCTTCAGTATCCGACCTTGAAGTCAGCACTGTCTGCTCGTTTGATTCTGTTATTGTTGAAGGTAAATTTTCTGGGAAAACCAACCGCTTTTCAATGGGTCCATAATTCTTAATTGTCTTGCTATTGTACCCCATTTGAAAAGGGCCCTTCAGATTTAAATCATTACGACCAAAGCTAATGCCAAATGTGAACATTTTCTGTCTATTACGATCCTTGTTTCTCTTGACTTTATCATCAGTTCTACTATAGCAAGTGCCCATGGTTAAAATAGATACTGCATGATACTGCAAGTAACAGCATGGAATAAAGAAAAAGCCAGCAACACAATACGTTTTAAAATGATATATTTCTTAAATACATTATATGGTTGAATTGTATTTTAATTTACAAACACAGCTAATGTAGTCCATGAGATTGTTTAGAGGAACAGTTCTTTCGAACTCAGAATATATTTGACGCCAAACAAAACATGATATGTCAAAAAGTTTTTCAAAATAATCTCTTTGTGTTTCTGATGGTTCAGGATACTTTAATATCTTGCATGCTTCAACGATTGCTTGCCACATCACTTCATGATTCAACATTGCCAGAGCCTGTTCAGCGTAATTCATCCAGCGCTCTTCTTCATCTAAACCTTCAATCAGCTGTCCAAACCAGGACCATTGATTACCATCAACTTCATCTTGATTTATGCGTGTCTCCTCTTCCAGTTTCTGAATTTGACGGTATATGGGTTGTTTACCATTTACATGGAAATTCCGGTGATCCCATACGGAAAGTAAATGGAACAAGCATATTTCGACGGCCCAACCGGAACTTTTCCGGAATAAACGGTTTGTTTGAAAAGGTTGTCCTCTCTTACCGATTGGAAAATTTCAACCGGTAAATGTTGGTTCATTTACATTTTTAAATTTTTTTTCACCAGTTCCAGGCTCTTCGCGATTTAACATTTGAAATTATTAAATGGAAGGCGAATAATCCGAATGGGATTTTCTATCCGAAATTTTGCTTACCATTAGCACAATTTCAAACCGGATGGGTTTTACATGTAAATGGTAAACGACCATGATCTCCGTAAACACGAAATCAGTAAGTTTTTCAGGAGTGAACAACTCATAGACAATTTCATCCACATACATTTGTCTGAACAAGTGTGCCATAATTTTCTTCACGTTTTCTTTTAAACCAACCGTTCAAGAGCAAAGTCACGAAATAGACTACTGCATGGCGTTTGGTTTCGTTTTAAGTAACCTATATGGGTCTAGCCATAAGAACAGTCTTACCGGACGCAAGGACACGTTAAATGCGTCCCGTAAGGACGTCCCGTGCGTCCCTCATATAGGGACGCACGGGACTTACTTACGGGACGCAGGGACACGTTAAAATGCGTCCCGTAAGGACGTCCCGTGCGTCCCGCATATAGGGACACCTCTCAAAGTGTCTCGTAAGCAAGTCCCGGGCGTCCCGTAAGAAAGTCCCTGCGTCCCGCATATATGGACACATCTCAAGTGTCCCGCAAGCAAGTCCCGTGCGTCCCGTAGCAATGTCCCTGCGTCCCGTTTGACAAGAGGAATCATTTTGCTCGATGCCGCGAACGCGTAAAGACTGACTTCCGTGCGGAAAGAAAAACCTTTGCAAATTATCAAATCATTTGGCAGACATTCACCATCTATCAAGTGAAGAAAGACGTATTTATCTGAGTGACGCCATGTCATCTTGCGCAGATAAAGAAGACTACAGCATTATGCACAGATCAAAAAGAGCTAGGATGGATAATTACGATGAAGGGGTTTCTTCCTCATCCCAAAACGGCGATATTTTCGATAGTGATGACGAGAAAGAACATAGCAGTGAAGAAGAGAGCAACAGCGAAGAAAATGAGAACAGCGAGGAAGATGACAGCAAAGAGGAAAGCGAAGAACACGAATCCAGCGAAGATGGAGAGGACTACGATCCCTGGCAAACGTTGATACACGAAGCAAAACTGCAACTTTTGGATAAATTTCAAGAAAACGTTGAATGCCTTAATAATGAGGGTTTTAGTGATGTTGAAGCTAAGAGGCAATCGTTTTCAGAACTTCTTCCCAAACTCACAAAAGAACTAGAAGATATTTATGTAGAACGGCTGCTATGGATGTCACACATGAAAAAGATCCAATTCACAAGAAGATCATGCAGACAAGAGATAATTTGATTGACGCAGATTTCCTCGACCGCGAAGAAGCTTTATATTCCGCAGTAGAAAAGAGAAAGTTTCTTTTCGAACGTCTTTTAGAAAAACGACAACATTATTCAGACGATGAAAGCGATACTATCGAATAAATTGTTGTACTTTTATACTTTAAAAATATATTTCATCAATCCTATTTGTTTGTCTGTTATATTTGTTATAGTATTCATCACACTGAATCGTATCCGACATGCAGAGAACCCCCAGGGAACTTCGAGGGAACCCCGAGAAAAAACCTAGATAATCCCAGACAATCGACCTCACAGTGAGTCAGTGACCCTCCAATGCTTTATATTGTCTAGTGACGATAAACCTTGTGTACAGCGGTCCACGCAAACGTAGTGTAAAGTGATCTGAAGCATAATCACGCGCACATCATGTTCGTCCGCGTACGACCTTAATTCAACGCTTAACCTTTGCGTGCGACTTTTCCATGCGACGCCACACTGCGCGGGGGCATAAACAGACAGGGAATTTGAAACAAATTTATTTATCGCCTTAAATCAAATAAAGAGAACGAACAGGGCATTTAGGCTAGAACTCGCCATGGAGAAGCAAAAACGAGCCGAGCGCTCACGAAGAAATCGAAGGAAACGCAAAAATGAATTTGAAAAATATAAGGAATTATATGAGTATGCTACCGAGAACAACATGCCATTTGTGCAAGAATTCGAAGTAAAACGGCAGCGTCGTCAGCAGCAAGAGCAACCAGTGCTAGAAGAGCAATCAACGCTAGAAGAATTGCTAGAAGAGCAACAACCGGAAACAAGTAATGGTTCGGCAGTGGTAGACGATATAGGTTGACTTCAGCGGTTTTGAGTGGTAAAAAGAAGAAACAAAAACACCGGCTCTTTTAAGAGCCACTACTTTTACAAAAAGAATATTGTACGAAACTCGATGTTCATTCATTCACATCTTGTATACATGCACGCTCCCTCTGGATTTACATCGCTAAGACACACGCATACACTAACAGTGTTTTAAACATCCTATAATTCACACATAAACTAATACAGAAAGTTATGCTTTAAACAAAATTTATAAAGCCTTAAAGCAAAAGCTTGAACTCCTCAACTTCATCAAGAGTTGCATGACGATCTTTCCCAAAGTTTTTAAATGTTCTGGTGCTTAAAAGATCTGCATATAATAACTAATATTATGGCTCATATAATAAATATTATGGCTCATCTCAGCTCGCTAATTAAGTATCTGTTAGTTGTACAAAATAAATCAAATCTCATTTAGTTCACAGAGAAGTAAGCTAAATGCAACGATATCACCCTTAAAGGGTTTGTAACCTTATAGTATTGCCAACGGCTGACAAAATGTGCGTGTGTGTGCATGGGATGTTTGACTTACAAACATTTGCATATAATAAATCTAATGGCTCGTTCCAATTCACTATCTCAAATAGAAGAGAAAAAAATCTCGTGTATTTCACAGAGAAGTAAGTTAAATGCAACGATATCACCCTTAAAGGTTTGCAATCTTAGTACTGCCAACGGTTAACAAAATGTGCGTGTGTGTGCATGGGATGTTTGACTTAAAACATTTGCATATAAATCTAATGGCTCATTTCAACTCGCTAATTATAGTATAATTAAATATCTCAAATAGAAGAAAAAAAAAATCTCGTGTATTTCACAGAGAAGTAAACTAAAATAAAACTTTATCGAATGGGGAGAATTCGTTTTCAGCAGAGACTATACTCGATTTTTCCACACGTTATACCGGTACTGACTCTTAGCGAGGACTTGCACTACTGGTCACGACATCTTCGTTTGCTGACCAGGAGCAACGTCTAACAACAAACGTTTACTCTATCGATAACATTCGTGTCTGTCCTTTTTTCACACTTATTACTATTATTATAAATGTTTGGGCTAATTCATTGACTGTTAAAACTGAAGTTGTGACCAGCAAATCCCCTACAGTGAAAACTGCTCTTGGTCTGGAAAACTGTTCATCGAGTGAGGAGTATTGATTTTCAGAAAAGTGTACACTATATATACCACTCAGTGATATATACACGTTTGATTTGTCCACATTTTAGGGGTATTGACTCTTAGCGAAACTTGATCGATGCATACTATAAATATGTGAAATCGAGTGTTTCGTTTAATTCTTTTAGTATATTTGGTGGCTCTTAAAAGAACCGTTTTTGTATGTCTTGTACGTCTCCCTTACTCTAAAAGAGACGTATCAAAATCCAACACATATTGTGCGGCTAACGATTCTTCTTGACGGTGTTGCTCACTCATACATACAGTTGGACGTTCATACTTTATAATTTACGCGGGAATAGCTGAACGTTCATACTTTATAATTTACGCGGGAATAGCTGAACGTTCATACTTTATAATTTACGCGGGAATAGCTGAACTTCATACTTATAATAAATTATGCGGCAATAGTTGAACGTTCATACTTGATAATTTATGCGGGTATTTCCGGTGATGTCATTGATGATATGACGTCATTGGCGGCACATAGTTATGCCGCGACCCAGGGGTCTATATTGGGGCCACTATTCTTCTTACTCTATATTAATGATCTACCTGCATGTCTGAGTAAAACAAAACCACGGCTGTTTGCTGATGATACAAATATCACAGCAGCTGGAGAATGCTTAATTGATCTTGAAGATGCAGTAAACTCAGATTTAGAAATGCTTCGTAAATGGCTCATGGCAAACAAACTGAGCTTGAATGTGGCGAAAACTGAATTTCAAATTATTGGTACTAAACAGATGCTGAAGAAAGCTTCTGTTCAGCAACTTAAAATTCACATTCAAAACATACCCATAAAGCAGGTTTTTCAATGTAAACACTAGGTGTGACTGTTGATGAAAATTTGTGTTGGAAGAGCAATACAGATAATATATGTAAAAAGATATCATCTGGAATATACGCTCTTAAAAGCATTAAAGAATATGTTGATCAAAAAACACTCGTTTCCGTATACAATGCTATAATTCAACCATACTTTAGCTACTGTTGTGAAGTTTGGAATATATTTGGTGAAACGCAATCCACGCGTCTCCAAAAACTTCATAACAGAGCTTCTCGTGTAATAGCATGTGTGCCTAATGAGGTAGATCAACAAACTGTGCTAAATATATTAGGATGGGAACCACTCAAGGAACAAAGAGTGAAAGCAAAGGCAAAAATAATGTTTAAAACGCTAAATAACATGGGGCCAAATTGTCTCAAAGAATTATTTACTTTCAAAAAAGAAATATTAAACCGCAGTCTTCGTAACAGCTCAAGTACCATACGTTTGCCCAAGCCAAACACAAACAATATGAAAAAGAGTTTCATGTATGATGGAGCTTCCATATGGAACTCTCTTCCAAAAAATATAAGAGAAAGTAATTCGCTCTCAAGTTTTAAAAGAAAAATCGCTACCTATAGCTTATAAAGAAAACCACATCATTGTAAATAGCAAACTTTCTGTATATATTTTAATAATTTTATATTCTGCATGTTAATACTTCCTTATTATTTTGCTTGTAACAATTTGTTAATGTTTTTTACACGCCCATTGTGGAAACCAGCTTCTGCTGACAATGTTAGCGTGGTTAAATAAAGTTTATCATCATCATCATCCCTTTGGACGCTGGATGGGGTAACCTACTCACAAGGAGTTTTCACGAACTTGCGCGTGACTTTTAAATTACTTCTTTTGAATTCTGACAAGACAACTGTATTGGGAGGTTTTCTCCTTTCAAATACAACTAATGTTTTCAATTTTTCGATTGGGACTATTCTACAATGAATTACTGCTGGATACTGTAATCTAAATACATAGGAAGACGAAGAAGTGGCATTTATTGGGAAGAGAAGCGGCGCGCCATTGAATGGCGCCATATTTCACGAAATATCGAAGGACACAATATCGAAGATAAAATACCCTGCACTGTTTCTAAACTTGATGAAACCTTCTTTGAAATCTTCTTCAGCCATTCATGTAATATATGAACAACGAGAGCGAGTGTTTCACCGGGATATCCAAACACGAGAAAACAATGTATGAGAACACGAGCGCGAAGCGCGAGTGTTTTCGTACATTGTTTTCGAGTGTTTGGATATCCCGGTGAGACACGAGCTCGAGTTGTTTATATGGCTTCTCAAATGAATCGAGACGTAACAGAATGTTTTCGTTTGCTGATTTGAATAGAATTCTTAACCAAGCATAACGTAATTAGGAATTCTATTCAAGTAATTTTGCATGCGTAATTAAGATATTTGATGAAAAAACTAGTGACTTTCATCAAGTATCCAAATGGCATCTTGTGATCAAATAGGTGATTATCATTGGCTGAATTACTCATGAATTATTAATGAATTTGAGAAGATTATGTAAAAGTACAACAACTGATGATATTTGCCACATTCGGCGATAAAAAGCAAACAAGACGGCAAAATATGGCTGAAATCGTGTTTTCGTGGGGGGGTAAGTGAAATAAAATGTATTATATTTAATGAAAATAATGACAATCCTTATAAAATCCACAATAATTATATTAAATTGAGCATAGTTTTTCACCCCATGATAATTTTTTTAAGGAAATAAGAAAATTTAATTTCTGCCAGGCATATTAGTTATTTTGTGCATATAATTAGCAATTTACCTGGGATGGTGCATGGTCATTTTCTTGTAAAATATTATACTTAGACAAATTTTTCCTTCTAATGACCACCCCTAAAACCAACCCTTCTGAACACTATAAGCACTTCACAAAGGCTATTGCTTTTCCTTTTCGGAAGTTATAGCTATGTCGACACTGCCGTTTCAGAGCGGGGTCATTTTCAGGACTTTCGTCCCGGATTCAGGTTCTGGCACATATGCCATGTTGACCGACATGGTCATTTTACCCTAAAACAGTTGAGATTACCTGTCCTAAATGAAACGCATACAAACTCATATACAGGTCCTAGACTTTGAAGATCTCGCGTTGTCCTACGTGTGCACCAAATTTCTTGAAACTTTGATAGCTTGAGCAAGACAGTAACTCTGTGTGATTAAATTTTTTTTCTAATTAAAAATTTTGTGTGCAAGGCCAAAGAATGTTAAAATACATAGGCTTACTGAAAGTTTTCGAAAATTTCGCCCACATCCGGCAGAAAAGCCGGTCAATGGCTGCATGCAAGCAGCGTAGCATATGCTATAAATGTTTTGAAAAAAACTTTTTTTATACATGTACTCAGCAATTTAAAGCAAGATCACACTGCCTTTACATATAATAAATAACGTGTATAAAGTTCAGATGCTTACATTTTAACAAAATTTGCTGGTCCAAAAAGCCTGTTGTTATATATAATGTCAAATAAGATATATATCCTAAAATATGAAGTGGCCTTCATAATATATGTGATCTGTTAATTACTGAAACAAACGAGATTAAAGATTTTAAACCAAAAGGGCATTATTTGTCAACTTGTCGTTGTAAAAACAACATACAACATAGATTAGAATCAAGAGAAAGCTTGGTGCAATAGTCTCAAAACCCATTAATGGAAAGTTCAATATTTCCTATAAACTGGACATCCAGCTAGATATGATATCCAGAGCACCCTTAGTATCCTTATTCTTATTAATTATTACAAACTTCATTCAAACTTGTGGGAAAATTTCCTCTGCATGCACTCCATAATTTTAAGTTTCTAGTATAAAAGCAATAATAGGAACCCAAAGTTGCAATACTCACAGCTCTCCATCTAAACAACTTTCGGAATGTCGCCTGATTTCTGTAATTGCTACTTCCATTTGGCATTTAATGCACTTTTCTAATAAAGGAGCTATATTAATGTCCTAAAAAAGATGCAATAAACTTTCAATTATACCAGTGTTTATAAAATTTACTGGTTTAAGTGCAGTAGGTACACAGGCAGTGATGTAAGTACTCGTTACTAAAGTAACGCGTTACTAAAGTAACGCGTTACTAATTACTAATTACTTTTTGGGTAATTTTTTGTTAATTAATTATTTTTGCAGGAAAGTAATTTGTAACGTAATCAATTACTTTTTGAAGGTAACGAGTAACATTTTAAAAAAGTAATTTGCATTACTTTTGGGCACTTTTATTATTTTCCAAAAAAAAACGATGATGACGATGACTTTTATTATTGATGCCACAGTTAAAATGGATAATGTACTGCACCTTTGAAGCAAATGGCTTTGAAGCTGAACACTGTACTGCCTGCAAGTGCAGCTGTTGAACGTCTTTTCAGCTGTGAAGGCTTGATCATGCGCCCGCACCGAAATCAGTTAACTGATGACCATTTTGAATCGGCACTACTTTTAAAGCTGAACTCCAAATTTAATACTGTTGCATAAGTCTTAACTATAACTTTGGAACTGCCTTTTGAATTAACTTTTATTGTTGTTTAAGTCCATGAGAACTTGAAAGTAATTTCAAGGTAATTAGTAATTAATTACTTTTGAAAAAAGTAATTAGTAATCGGTAATTAATTACATTTGAAAGACAGTAATAAGTAATTAGTAATAATTACTTTTTTGGAGAAGTAATTGTAATTTTACTCGTTACTTTTTTTTGGTAATTTTCACATCACTGATAACACAGGGAATATGCAATTGTCAGTAAAGCAACAAGTGAACGTACATTATAAATTTTAAGTAATCTATTTTAATTAAAATCACACTGGCAAAACAAAATGGGCTTTTACCTAGTCCTAAGTTGTGAAATAAATAGAGAGTTGTGCATGTTTATATCATATTTCAAGCTACTACAATCACACATTCTCAAAAACAAAGCATCGAATCAATTGACGTAGAGTCGAATGTTTCCATTCTTACTTAATAAATAAAATGTATTAAAGGTAGGTTACAGTCCCTTCTGCGCATGTCTGTGATTGTTTTGTGAAATGTTAATTAAACAAGTCACATATTATTAGCACTGATAAAGATGAGGTGTTTCGAAAACGAAGACCTACGAAAACGAAGACCGAAGACCTAAGATGGGTCTTCGTAATTACGAAAACGAAGACCCACTACGAAAACGAAGACCCATCTTTGTTTTCGTACTACGAAAACGAAGACCCTAAAATATTTATTTACATTGTTTTCGCGAAAATAAGCTGGAAGATTAAATTTCAATATGTTTTCAGGGAGTTGACTACCTCTAGCCTGCGAACAGGCTCTCAAGCTGAATTGAGAGCCTGCATCGATGACTGAATTTGAATATCTGCGTCTCAAATCGTGACGCGAAATTCTCATTGGTCAGATGCTATAATTTATCAGTAATTTATATGTTTCCGCTGAGCTCTATATATGTCAAGTTGAAGCACTGTGCATAAAAAACGCATTATCTGATCAAATTGGTCTTGGCTATCTTATCTCAAAGCACGAAATGTTCTGTTTTGAGAAAACAGTATTTAAAACATTTGAATATTTGCTTGAATATCTTATATTTCGAAAAACAGTATAAACTGTACGGTCTAAATTTAGTTTGCACGGTCTAAATTTAGTTTGCACGAAAGTTGTAAACAACACCATATAAGGATAGACATTCCATATTTGGGAAATCGAACGTTACGGGTCAGATATTCAAATTCATTAGTCATCGATGCAGGCTCTCAATTCAGCTTGAGAGCCTGTTCGCAGGCTAGACTACCTCTCGTTAGGGCACTTCTTAAGAACACGGCGTATACTGGAAAAATCCCTTACGCTAAATTAATTTGAATCACTGAGACATCTGTGTGTACTATGTACGTACTCTGTGGTTCTATTGACCGTGGTATTACTGATTCAAACTTAAGTGATTTGCCCAGACATTGACAATAGTACAGCAATTAAATAAATACATGTCGA